CTGCCCGAGGAGCGGCCCCGCCCCCTGGCCAAGCTGATTGGCGAGTTCCTCGGGGGAGGGGCCGAGGAGGGCTCCTAGCCACGCCCAGGATTGGGGGGGGGGGGGNAGGGACAGGGACAGGGACAGGGACAGGGACAGGGACAGGGACAGGGACAGGGACAGGGACAGGGACAGGGACAGGGACAGGGACAGGGACAGGGACAGGGACAGGGACAGGGACAGTGCCACCCCCCCCTTGGGGACACCGGGGGGACAAGGGACAGGGGCTTGGGGACACCGTGGTGACAGTGCCACCCTTGGGGACACCGTGGTGACGTCCTGGGCTTGGGGACACCGCCCTGGGGACAGTGACAGCCTTGGGGACACCCTTGGGGACACCCTGGGCTTGGGGACACCCTGACCACCCTTGGGGACACTCTGGGGACAGTGCCACCCCAGCCATGAGGACACCCTGGGGACAATGACGCCCTTGGGGACACCACGGTGACAGGGACACCCTGGAGACCACCCTGGGGACATCCCAGCCCTGGGGACAGGGACACCCTGGGGACAGTGCCACTCCAGCCTTGGGGACACCCTGGTGACAGTGCCACCCCTGGGGACACCGTGGTGACAGTGACACGCTGGTGACAGTGCCACCCTGGGCTTGGGGACACCGCCCTGGGGACAGCACGGTGACAGTGACACCCTTGGGGACACCGTGGTGACAATGACACGCTGGGGACAGTGCCACCCTGGGCTTGGGGACACCCTGGGGGCAGTGACACTGTGGTGACAGGGACATCCTGGCCTTGGGGACACCGTCCTGGTGACAGGGACACCCTTGGGGACACTCTGGGGACAGTGCCACCCCAGCCATGAGGACACCCTGGGGACAATGACGCCCTTGGGGACACCACAGTGACAGTGCCACCCTGGGCTTGGGGACACCGCCCTGGGGACACCCTGGGGACAGTGACACCCCTGGGGACACCGTGGTGACAAGGACACGCTGGGGACAGTGCCACCCTGGCCATGGGGACACTGTGGTGACAGTGACACCCTTGGGGACGCCCTGGGGACAGTGCCACCCTGGGCTTGAGGACACCGTGGTGACATCCTGGGCTTGGGGACACCACCCTGGGGACAGTGACACCCTTGGGGACACCACAGTGACAGTGACATCTTGGACACTGCCCTGGGGACATCCCAGCCTTGGGGACACCCTGGTGACAATGCCACCCCGGCCATGGGGACACCGTGTGACAGGGACACCCTTGGGGACACCGTGGTGACATCCTGGGCTTGGGGACACTGGTGACAGTGCCACCCTGGCCATGGGGACACTGTCCTGGTGACAGTGACACCCTTGGGGACAATGACGCCCTTGGGGACACCGTGGTGACAAAGACACCCTGGAGACCACCCTGGGGACATCCCAGCCTTGGGGACAGGGACACCGTGGTGACAGTGCCACCCTGGGCTTGAGGACACCGTGGTGACATCCTGGGCTTGAGGACACACTGGTGACAGTGCCACCCCAGCCATGGGGACACTGTGGTGGCAGGGGCACACTGGTGACAGTGCCACCCTGGGCTTGGGGACACCCTGGTGACAGTGCCACCCTGGGCTTGGGGACACCGCCCTGGGGACAGCACGGTGACAGTGACAGCCTTGGGGACACCATGGTGACAAAGAGATCACCTTGGGGACACCGTGGTGACAGTGCCACCCTTGGGACACCATGGTGACAAGGACACACTGGTGACAGTGCCACCCTGGCCTTGGGGACACCCTGGTGACAGTGGCACTGCCACCCCCGGGTTGGGGACAGTCCCCCCTCCCTGTCCTTGGTGTCACCTCCCTGTCTTCAGTGTCACCTCCCTGTCCTTGGTGTCACCTCCCTGTCTTCAATGTCACCTCCCTGTCCTTGGTGTCACCTCAGTGTCACCTCCCCGTCCTCAGTGTCACCTCCCTGTCCTGTCCTTCACTGTCACCTCCCTGTCCTTGGTGTCACCCCAGTGTCACCTCCCTGTCCCTGGTGTCACCTCCCCTGTCCTGTCCCCAGTGTCACCTCCTTGTCCTCGATGTCACCTCCCTGTCCTGTCCTTCACTGTCACCTCCCTGTCCCCAGTGTCACCTCCCTGTCCTTGGTGTCACCTCCATGTTGTCAATGTCACCTCCCCTGTCCTGTCCCCAGTGTCACCTCAATGTCCTTGATGTCACCTCCCTGTCCCAGTGTCACCTCAGTGTCACCTCCCTGTCCCCAGTGTCACTTCAATGTCTCTGGTGTCACCTCCCTGTCCTTCACTGTCACCTCCCTGTCCCCAGTGTCACCTCCCCATCCCCGGTGTCACCTCCACGTCCTCGGTGTCACCTCCCTGTCCCGGGTGACCAAGAAGTGTCCCCAGGGCGGGTGGTGGCACCTGGCAGCTGTCCCCAACCCCTGAGGGTGTCCCCAAGGGCCACCAGCGCTGTCCCCAACCCCCCCTGATGTCCCCAAACCTGTCCTCAACCCCTCCAGGTGTCCCCAACCCCCCTGATGTCCCCAGTGCTGTCTCCAACCCCTCCTGATGTCCCCAAGTGCCACCAGCACTGTCCCCAGCCCTGTCCCCAACCCCTCCAGGTGTCCCCAAGGATGTCCCCAACCCATCCAGGTGCCACCATTCCTGTCCCCAACCCCTCCTGATGTCCCCAAGGGTGGCCCTGGTGGCCCTGGTGGCCCTGGTGGCCCTGGCGGTGACGCTGCTGCTGCTGCTGGGGACGCTCGGGGCGCGGCGCAGTGAGTGCGGCACGGGGGGTTGGGGGATTGGGGATTTTTTGGGATTTTTGGGGATTTTTTTGGGATTTTTTTGGGATTTTTTGGGATTTTTTTGGGATTTTTTTGGGAAAATTTGGGGATTTTTTAGGGATTTTTTGGGATTTTTTGGGGATTTTTTGGGGAAAATTTGGGGATTTTTTAGGGATTTTTTTGGGGATTTTTTAGGGAGTTTTTTGGGATTTTTTGGGATTTATTAGGGAAAAAATCGGGGATTTTTTGGGAAAATTTGGGGATTTTTTTGGGACTTTTTGGGGTTTTTGGGGGATTTTTTTAGGGATTTTTGGGATTTTTTAGGAAAAATTTGGGGATTTTTAAAGGATTTTTGGGGATTTTGGGGGGAAATTTTGTGGATTTTCAGGGGATTTATTGGAATTTTCCGGGGGAATTTTTAGGGAAAATTTGGGTATTTTTTGGGATTTTTGGGGAAATTTTTGGCGTTTTTTAGGACTTTTTCAGGGAAAAATTTGAGATTTTTTTAGGGTTTTTTTTGGATTTTTAGGGGATTTGGTTTTTAATTTTGGTGGTTTTTTATGACTTTTTTGGTGATTTTCGGAATTTTTTAGGGAAATTTTGGGGAGCTTTTTGGGATTTTTTAAGGGAGTTTTGGGATTTTTAATGAACTTTTTTTTGATTTTTAGGGAAAATTTAGGGATTTTTTGAGGGATTTTTAGGGGATTTTTCCCGGGGGAATTTTTTTTTAGGACTTTTTTTGGTGATTTTTAGGGTTTTTTTGGAAAATTTGGGGATTTTTGGGGATTTTTTTTTTATTTTAGGGGATATTTTAGGGGAACTTGGGATTCTGGGTGGAATTTTGAGGATTTTTGGGGGGATTTTTTAATTTTTAGGGAAATTTGGGGGCTTTTTTGATGATTTTTTTATTTTTTAGGGAAAATTTAGGGGATTTTTTTGGAATTATGGGGAAATTTTGGCGGGAATTTTGGGGACGATTTTGGAGCCGTTTGGGGGGAAAATTTAGGGGGATTTTGGGGCGGTTTTGGGGAGAATTTTTGGGGCGACATGGGGGGATTTTGGGGCTGTTTGGGGGGAAATTTTGGGGGAATTTTTTTGGGATTTTGGGGCTGTTTTTGGGAGGATTTTTGGGGGAACTTGGGGGGGATTTTGGGGCATTTTGGGGAGATTTTTGGGAGAATTTTAGGGGGATTTTGGGGGGGATTTGGGGGCTGTTTTTGGGGGGAATTCGGGGACATTTTGGGGTTTGGGCAATGTCCCCAAAATGTCCCCTCGGTGTCCCCAAAATGTCCCCTCAGTCTCAGACCTGGAGGCCGCCCTGGAAGAGGAGAAGGCGAAGAACCCGCCACCAGCGGCGGGTCCCTGTCACCTGTCCCTGTCACCTGTCCCTGTCACCTGTCCCCGTGTCACCTGTCACCTGTCCCTGTGTCACCTGTCCCTGTCACCTGTCCCCGTGTCACCTGTCACCTGTCCCTGTGTCACCTGTCCCTGTCACCTGTCCCTGTTGTCACCTGTCCTTGTCACCTGTCCCCGTGTCACCTGTCCCCGTGTCACCTGTCCCCGTGTCACCTGTCCATTGTCACCTGTCCCTGTGTCACCTGTCCCTGTCCCCGTGTCACCTGTCCCTGTCACCTGTCCCCGTCACCTGTCCCTGTCACCTGTCCCTGTCACCTGTCCCTGTCACCTGTCACCTGTGTCACCTGTCCCCGTGTCACCTGTCCATTGTCACCTGGCTCTGTCCCTGCAGTGTCCAGCTCCTTCCTTCTCTACATTGGCCACTAACTGGTGGCCACTGGGCAGCTCTTGGTGGCCACCACCATGTCCCCAACCTCTTCCTCATTGTCCCCTATCCCCTCAGTGTCCTGGTGGCCACCACCCATGTCCCTGTCCCCTCAGTGTCCAGCTCCTCCCCACTCAACACCGAGCCCCGTGGCCAAATCCTGGTGGCCACTTGGGCAACTCCTGGTGGCCACCAGACACCTTCCAGTGGCCACCACGTGTCCTCCCGTCCCCACAGCGTCCACCTCCTTCCTCCTCTACAACTGGGACCGCTCCGGCCGCGTGGTGGCCACAGGGCAGCTCCTGGTGGCCACCACCATGTCCCCAACCCCTCCCATGTCCCTGTCCCCTCATTGTCCCCCTCTCCCCACAGTGTTTGGCTCCTTCCTTCTCTACATTGGCCACTGGGCAGCTCCTGGTGGCCACTAGCCAAGTCTTGGTGGCCACCACCATGTTCCCAACCCCTCCCATGTCCCCCGGTCCCCACAGCGTCCACCTCCTTCCTCCTCTACAACTGGGACCGCTCCGGCTGCGTGGTGGCCACTGGGCAGCTCCTGGTGGCCACTGGCCAAGTCTTGGTGGCCACCACCATGTCCCCGACACCTCCCGTGTCCTTGTCCCCTCATTGTCCCCCTGTCCCCACAGCGTCCACCTCCTTCCTCCTCTACAACTGGGCCCGCTCCGGCTGCGTGGTGGCCACTGGGCAGCTCCTGGTGGCCACCACCATGTCCTTATCACCTCATTGTCCCCACAGCGTCCGCCTCCTCCCTGCTCTACAACTGGGACCGCTCCGGCTGCGTGGTGGCCACTGGGCAGCTCCTGGTGGCCACTGGCCAAGTCTTGGTGGCCACCACCATGTCCCCGACACCTCCCGTGTCCTTGTCCCCTCATTGTCCCCCTGTCCCCACAGCGTCCACCTCCTTCCTCCTCTACAACTGGGCCCGCTCCGGCTGCGTGGTGGCCACTGGGCAGCTCCTGGTGGCCACCACCATGTCCTTATCACCTCATTGTCCCCACAGCGTCCACCTCCTTCCTGCTCTACAACTGGGACCGCTCCGGCTGCGTGGTGGCCGTGGGCAAGTGGCTCTCTCTGGCGCGCTGCTCGCCCTCGTCCCCGTCCCAGCGCTTCCAGTGGCTGCCGGGCGGCCTCCTGCGCCACGCGGCCACCGGCGGCTGCGCCGAGGCCGCGGCGGAGGC